CCTTATCTTGTTTCTGGTATTAGGAGGAAGCATTTAGTATTATAGCATTAAGTATGGTGTTAGGTCCTTTTATCAGGTTGAGAAAGTTCCCTTCTATTTTCTCAGTTAGCTAAATGTTGAATTTTCTGAAATGTTTTCTTTGTCTCATGAGATTATGTGGTTTTTTTGTTTTACTTTGTTAATATGGTGAATTTCATTGATTGATTTTAAAATGTTAAACCAACTTTATACATCTGGAATAAACTTTTCATCATGTGTTAGCTTTTTAAATGTTGAATTTGATCTACTGAAATTTTGTGTAAAATTTTTACATTAGTATTTATGATGGATATTGGTGAATAGTATTATTTTCTTATAATGTTTTTCATTTTGGTATCAGGGTAATGTTGGTATCATAGAATGAGTTGTGAAGTGTTTTTTCATTTTCAATTTTCTGGAAAATTTTATGTAGACTTGGCATGATATCATCCTCAAATATGTCATTGAACTCACCAGTGATACTATTTGGGTCCAAGTTTTCTGTGTGGGAAGGTTTTAAACTATAAATTTAATTTCTTTAACAGATTTGGAGCAATTCATTTATTTTTTTCTTGAGTAATCTTTGATGGTTTTAAATAATCTATCCATTTCATCTAATTTGTTAATTTGTCAGTATAAAATTATTAATGGTATGTCCTTATTATCCTCTGTAGAATGTCTATAGAATCAATAGTGCTGTCATTTCTCTCATTCTTGATGTTACTAATTTGGGTCTTCTCTTTTATTTTTCTGATTAGTCTGGATATAGTATCTTAATTTTTATTGAGATTTTCAAAGAATTGACTTCTGACTTCATTGGTCTTCTCTGTTGTCTTTCTGTTTTCTATTTAAGTAACTTCAGTTCTGAGTTTTATTATTTTATTTTTTCTTCTACTTACTTTAAACTTAGTTTTTCTGCTATAAATTTCATCCTACATGCTGCTTTAGACATCTCATAAATTTTGATATGCTGTATTTTCACTTTCAGCTAATTTCATATATTTTGAATTTTCCTTTTGATTTTTTCTTTCACTCATTGGCTACTTAGGAGTGTACTATTTAACTTTAAAATATTTGTACTTTTCTAGGGTTCTTTTTGTTATTGATTTCTATTGCAGTCAGTAAACAAACTTTTATGACTTGAGGCCTTTTAAATTTATTGAGATTTATTTTGGGGCTCAAAATATGTTCTGCTTTGGTAAACAGTCCACATGCACATGAAAAGAATGTTTATTTTGCTATTGGTGGATGAAGTGAGCTGTACATGTCAATTTGGTCAAGTTGACTGACACTTCTGTCTATTTTGTGTATCTGTATTGACTTTCTATTTATCAATTATTAAGAGAGGGTTATTAAAATCTGTGACCATAGCTCATGTTAATTCAAGTTAAGAAAAAGAAGTCAGATTCAGTTCACCAACCTCCACTGGTGAGTGTGTGTATGGGACAGGGTGTTGCTCCCAGAAGTGACTTGAACCTTTTAAAAAATTGTTAGACCCTTTAAGCTGCCCAAGTAAATATGCTGCATAAATAAAACAAAATGGTTGCTATGAAAGCATAACTTCAAGACAAATCTTCTTTCTATTCCTTTCACTCTTTCCACTTTATTGTTTTCCTTATATGAAGCTTTATGCTGTATATAAATACTATATATGTATATGTTTATATATATTCTTGCATATAAATTCTGTGGATATTGTTGTGTAGTGATATTATTGTATTATTGTATTGTATTAGTGGTCTTATGTGTTTTACACTCTTTAATATTGTAACATAAAAATATTAACATATTCCTGAAAATTCTAAACAGATCATGGAGAGACAGAGATTGTCAAGTTTTTGAACCCATTAATTAAAGAAATTGTGTAGAGATTACCTAAATTATAGTATACCTGGGTTCAAGAGAATGGTTAGTTCAGGCACCAAAACTTTCCAAGAAATGCAATCTGGCTTTCTATTTTGCATTCAACAGCTAACACAAAAAACTGAGAGACAATTGAGAGCTAAATCTGTTGTTTCTGTGCTCCTTTGAATGTTTAGCTAACTTACGAGTTTTGATATTTTGAATATCTATTTTTAAAATTTAGTTTGAATGTTAAATTGTTAGAATTTTAAGCTTGATGTCACTGTTTACTTAGGGTCAGATCAGAGAGATTTCATGGGAGTTACTGTTTATAGATTGTTAAAACCCTCAGGCAACATCAAGGCTGTTGAATGTGGACAGTTTCTTGAATTATAGCGCAGAAACTTTAATACTTACCTCAGGAATGATAGGGGTCTTAAATAGGCAGTCATATTTACCCAAGAAACCTAGAGTTTTCTTAGATTGCCAACCTTAGCAAGACAAGAAATGTCAGGGTGACAGAGTTTAAGTGGCTCTTTTCAGATATGTTTCACTGATTCTCTATATTTAAGATGCAAAACAGCCTCTCAGGAGCTATTTAATTAAGTGAAAGTAAGTTTAGTCCTTTTGGAAACCGAATGGTTCAGCGAGCAAATACATACCAGCAAGTGAAGGAAGTGGGGGGAGTTATTATGTGCTTCATAGACATGGTGACACTTTATAACCCCATATCAGGGATCCTAAACAGTGATTGGTTGAGAAAATTATCAAACTGTTTAAATTTCAGCAGGTACAAAATTGTCATGCAAAAGTCCAGGACAGTGTGTCACTTTCAGTCTTCAAAGAGAAAGATAAGAAACTCTGGATTTTCAAAGTCCTTTTGAAGGCTTTTAAGGTAAGATGGAACATCCTTCCTGCTCAGAACCAACTAATTCTTCTAGAAAGAACTTTGAATTTCAAAGAAGAAACCAACTTGATTTTAAGAAGTTAATACTTTGTGACTAGATTTTTTTCTTCCCTTTTGACTTCTCATATTGGCAGTATGCATTAAAAAAACGGAAAATTATATGGTAAGGAAGAGATAGAGTTGAAAAAAAGAAAGACATGCTACTGAAAAACTGACCAACTGAGGTGAAAATTTGATAGGTATCTGGTCACTTTGATTCATTTTGACAAACAATTAGATAACTCAGATTCATAAAATCTACCTTAGTCTTTCAGACAAGGCTAATTTGGCTTTGCGTTTCACTATTTTATTATTTACTTGTCCTCATTAACTTGGTAATTGCTAAATAAATCTCTTTTCACACGTGGCAAACCATGAAATAATCTGAAGGATGTTTCAGAAATTCTGAAGCCTCTCCCTCAGGCTGGTAACATTCAGGCCGGTAACATTCAGGTCGTTTCTATAGTAGTCTTTTAAGCCATGTGCCTGCCTTAGCAAACGGTGGCAAGCATCACTGTGGAAATGTTCTGGAGTGGAGCTGAAAGAGAGTCAAAGTGGCCAGATTGCTGGACTGCAGCTTAAAGCTACACACCATTCTGGCCTTTGTTGCAGGTACCTCTCCGGGACGCCGTGGCTCCTCTGAATCACAGCGCAGATGCGCCTTCGGCAGAGCAGAGTCTGTGTAATTATTAGGTTTGGGTTTGCAAAGGACAGCATGACGCTGCTTACTCAAAGCTGCTCTTCTGCATCCTCAGAGATCAGCGTTATGCTTGTCCTAGGATCACTGCAGCCTCCTTTTACTTGATATATTTTTGAAGGAGGTCTAGACACTCTGCTGAACAGCTACAAGAGTAAGCACTTTTCCCCCCCTCTGCAGCTCTGGAACTGTGTCCTCTCTCCTTGGAGAAATGCCAGTAATTCTTATGATGGTTGATATTCACTGAAGTTTTATTATGTTTCCCTATTATCATTAAATTATTCAACCAAGGCCATTTTATTACATGCAAAATTATAATCTATAAATCCAGTGGGAGTTCATGAAATGGGAGCAAAACTCTCTTTTCTTTCTATTCTAATAGCATCATTACATCAAGAAGTCCAATCTGATATGATAGATAGGAACTTACATTTTTTTATTCACATAGGTTATACAATGTCTATTTTAACTCATCAAAAACTAGATCATTTCTGAATCTGAAATCTAACAGGGATGTAGGATCATGTGTTTAAAGGTCTCACATGATAATTGCTATCGTTTCTTTATTAGGAGATTGCAAATCACCTGAAACAGTGCTAGGCATCTTTTCTACTAATAAATATTTATTTATCAACAATATTCATCAAATGTCTTTTTCTGGGTTTTGCATTGGAATACAATGATCACCAAGATACCCCCTGGGCCTCAGGAGCTTATAGTATAACAGGGATGCATATAAGTACCAGGCAATTTTAAAACAGTGCAGTGTGTTACCAGTGAGGTGAGCAGAAGCAGCTGGGTGTGAAGGGGAAAGAGACACTAAAACCCTTTGAAGTGCAGTGGGAGAAAGCTTCACAGAGAACATTCATTCTTCTGTTAAACCTTAGGACAATCCTGAGGCGCAAGTATTTATTATTAGCTCAGGTGGAGTGAACATAAAGCTCCTAATTTTCTCGTACTTACTCAGCAAGTAGCAGAGGTAAAATTTGAACCCTGGTCCCTGACTCCAAAATTTATGTTCTTTCCACTTGCCCAGGCTCCTTCATGTTAGCAATTTCCTTCTCTTAAATTCTAGCGTAGGGATTCCCAGTGCTTTCTCTTTTAAGCATAAACCTAGCAGAATGCATTAACACTTGATTAAAGCTCTTCAGAAGAGAAATGTAACCCCATCAAGGATGGCAGAAGGACAAAGCTATGGCTGTGCCCTTTGATCTATGTGGCTGCTGGCCTTCATTGGTTCAGGTAAAAAAATCTAGGCGGCTACATTAGTGCTGACCCTGATGATGTCCCCATTCTCCATGACTGCACAAGGAATGTTCTGGAATAGCACAAGTCTTCTCAAGTTGGACATATGCTCCTTACCCAGGAAAAGCCAAAGGCATATTACAGACTAAAATAAAATGTTAGTGTAGTAATCATCTTTTACTTTATAAGTAATTTTGTGCTGTTCTTTTTTTTTTTTTTTTTAACAGCCTTTGATTATTATTCCTAAAGAAAATGAAGATAATTATATATTTTTGCATTTGGGCAGTAGTATGGGCTGTTCCAGTAAGTATGCCTTTCTCAGAAAAATCTCCCTCACTTTTCTCTTTTAACATAACATATTTGTATGTTTGTCTGTATATATATTTCTTTAAGACTGTCGACAAGCTGAGTCTAAACATTTAGGTTTGTACGTAACGCTTTACAATAAATCTCGTTCATGCTGCCATTTCTCTAACTGAAACTCGTGCTTTGTCAGAAGGATTATTATTTTGAAAACTTATTTATATTTGTTGACATTCAACGTTCAGAAGTCATGGAGACTTTGGTCATCTTTGCTTCATGCTCTGTGAATTTCATTTTAATATCAACAAAGTCTGTGCTGTTTAGGAAGTTTTAAAGAAAGAAAAGTAGGAAATAGAATTTTTCAACACATGAGAAAACAAATGTTTCACTCAATTATTATTTATGTGCTGACTATGGGAAATTTGGAATATACAGATAAACACCAATAAAGAAAAATTAGGAAAATTAAACTGTCATTTTATTAGCCAGCTTCCATGTTTAACATTTTTGTATGCTTTCGTAATGCCAAACATTTGGTACGTATGTAGTTGAGAATTTTCACAAGTATTTTAAATGTGTTCTTACAGAGCACGAAAGTAGTGTATATTACTTGATTTTGTTTGGGCATTGGCTCTGGTCACACTTACTATTCTTTTAAGTGTCTTGGTCAGACCAGGCGCAGTGGTTCCAGCCTGTAATCCCAGCACTTTGGGAGGCAAAGGTGAGGGATTACCTGAACTCACGGGTTCAAGAACAACCTGGGAAACTTAGTGATCTCATCTCTACAATAAAAATTTAAAAATTTAGCCTGCTGTGGTAGCGTGTGCCTGTAGATCCAGCTACTTGGAAGATTGAGGTGGAAGAATTGCCTGAGTCTAGCAGGTTGATGCTGGGGTGGCAGTGAGCATACCACTGCACTCCAATCTGGGCAGTGGAGTGAGATTCCAACTCAAAAAAAAAAAAGAGTTTTGGTCAGAATTATATTTAGAGTGGGTCTTGTGCTATTGCAAGAATCTTGTTGCAATACAAAACCATTTTTTTGAGTTGGAGTCTCACTCTGTTGTCCAAGCTAGAGTGTAGTGTTATGCTTATAGCTCACCGGAGTCTTGACCTCCTGGACTCAGGTGAGCCTTCTGCCTGCCTCCCAAGTAACTGAGACTACAGGTATGCACCACTAGGCCCGGCTAATTTTTGCATTTTTTTGTAGAGATGAAGTCTTGCTATGCTGTCCTGGCAGCTTTTGAACTCCTGGGCTCAAGCAATCCTCTCACTTCGCCTCCTAGAGTGCTGGGATTACAGGGATGAGCCACCATGCCTGGCCTCTCCCTGTCTTTATAAAAGACATTCTTTTCCTACAGTTGAGAAAAGTGGTCTGGCTAACACTTCAATAAAAGTGGTAGTACCACAGTGAAAAATATATGTCCCATTTAAGTTCTACATAAACCCTGTAAGAAGCCACTTCTCTTTTCTACCTAATTAGATCATACTTTGGCCTTTGTGTTATATCCTTTTTTCCTTCACTGATTAAAAAAATACGTGTGTGGGTGTGTGAGTGCTCATGCATGTGCGTGTACACAAGATACGAATCTTTTTAAGAGCCAGTGTTTTATCCTTGGCAGCTTCCTCAAACCAAACCATTGGAGAGACATGCTGTTGAAAAATCTGTGAATTTACATCTTCCAGCAAAATCAAAAGTGCCACTACAGGTATAGGATATAAAACTTGTTTTCTTTTATTTTCTATTTCTAAGCTGTTTTTAGATTTCTATGTGCATGTGTGTCTTTGTGGGGTACGAGTGAGGATTTGCTACATAAGCAGGTTGCATGAAATTTGGGCTTCTAGCTGGTTCTCTCTCCCCCAGTAGTGGACCAGGTACCCAGTGTGTTGTCCCGTGTTCCTCCCCTCCCCCCTACCAGTGTCCAGCAACTGCCGATCCCACCCATATGCTAGTGTGACTAGTATTCAAGACCCACTTAGGAGTGAGAACATGTGGTATTCAGTTCTTTGTTTCTATAATAGTTCACTTAGTATAATAGTCTCCAGCTGCATTCAAGTTGCTGCGAAGGCCATGATTTTGTTCTTCTTTATGTCTGTGTAATACTCAGTCGTGTATACGTACCACATTTTCTTTATCCAGCCCACTTTTGATGGGCAGCAAGGTTGGTTCTGTGTTTTTACTATTGTGAATAGTGCTCTTAGGCTTCAAGAACTTCCCTCCATTGCAGTTTGCTTTACTTCAAGGTGATATTTATATTTATAATTTATTTTGGATGGTTTCTCTTTTCCAGGATGAGTTCAATGACAATGACACCACCAAAGAAAGTGAAAGGCAACAGCTTACCCAAGGTGGTTACCAAGGGGATGGGGATGGCTCTGAGTGGGCAGAGATCAGAGGGAAGAATTCTCCTACACATTCTATGCTGGCAAACAAAGATGGGAACATTGAGGGTTGGAATGGGAGCACAGGGCAACCAGAAACATATGGTCATGATGGGCTATATGCAAGAGAAGATAACATCACAGCAAATGGCATCAGAGGACAAGTAAGCATCATTGGCCTCACTGGAGCAGCAAATGGAAGTGATATTAATGGGAACAGCACGAGTCAGAATGAAGATACCACTGTTGTCCAAGAAGGTGGACCTCAAGTATCTGGAAGCAATAATAATACAGACCATGAGGATGAGATGAATGAGAATTCCTGTGGAAATGAGGGTGATGCAAACGAAGTAACACCTCAGAGAGAAGGCGGGAGAAATGGGACTATGGAGTCTGAGGTAACACCAAACATTGGAGAAGATGCTGGCCTGGATGATTCTGATGGGAGTCCTAGTGGGAATGGAGCAGATGAGGATGAAGACAAGGGCTCTGGTGATGAAGCTGAAGATGCAGGGAATGGAAAAGAGGGCAGTGATAACAGCAAGGGCCAGGAAGGTCAGGGTCATGAAGAAGAAGATGAAAATGACAATAGTAGAGGTCACAGTTCAATGAGTAGTGAAGATGATGACCCTGAAGACAAAGATCCCCATAATGACACTGATGGAGACAACGCTTCCAAGAGTGAGGAAGATTCTGATGGAATTCCAGAAGACAATGGCAGTCAAAGAGTAGAGGACACCCAGGAGCTCCATCACGGACAAAGCAAAGGTGTAGAAAATGGAATCACCAAAGAATCAGAGCAAAGTGCAGTCGGGAAGAGCCAAGATAAGGTTAGTGTGTAAAGCTAATTTCTTTCAGTGGCAGTTTAAATTATTTCCCTCCATCCACTAATGGTGGTACAAAAATAAATCATGACAAACATCCATGCATTTTTGCATCTATGTATTTTTGTATTTATATTACTGGAATATTTGATGAAAAAGCTAGAATCCTTACTAGATTTTGATATAGAACAACTTTAAGACATTTCTGAAAATTTGGTAACTATTCTAGAAAATTCTTATGCTAAATAATGACTTCACCATGTGGCTCTTTACAAATGTTTCTACTGAGTAGGAATGTGGGTGGATTGTTAAAGAATCTAAACCCTGGGGGTACTTTCAAGCACTGAATGAAACACATTTCCGCAGATAACTGTGAAATACTAGACACTGAACTCCGATCCTTTGGTTATTTTTCCAAGTTCTTCCTGAGATCAATGCAATTCTGCAGCAAATATTTACTAATTGATTATTTCTTTCTCCATTCTTTCATAGGGAATAGAAATCAAAGATCCTAGCAGTGACAACAGAAATAATATCACCAAAGAAGCTGGGAAAACCAATGAAGATAAAGGGAGTAAAACACAACACGGGATGATCATGGGCAAAGGAAATGTCAAGATACAAGGAGAGGGTGACAAGGTGCAAGGTCCTGGCCAGACGTCAGAGCTCGGAAATACAGCTGAACACAGCAAAGCAGGCAGTGACAGCAATAGTGATGGGTATGACAGTTATGATTTTGATGAGGAATCAATGCAAGGAGATGACCCTAACAGCAGTGATGAGTCAAATGGTACTGATGATGCTAATTCACAAAGTGACAATGACAGCAGCAGCCAAGGAGATGTTTCTTATGACTCTGATGAATCAAAAGGTAATGACAATGACAGTGACTCCAAGGGAGAAGGAGATGATGATGACAGTGATGACAGTGATAGTAGATCAGACACTGATGATAGTGATAGTAATGGCAATGGTAACAATGGGAGTGATGGCGATGACAACTCAGATGGCAGCAAAGGTAAATCAGATAGCAGTGACAGCAGTGACAGCAGTGATAGTAGTGACAGCAGTGACAGCAGTGACAGTAGTGATAGTAGTGACAGCAGTGATAGTAGTGACAGCAGTGACAGCAGCCACAGCAGTGACAGTAGTGACAGCAGTGACAGTGACAGCAGTGAGAGTAGTGACAGCAGTGACAGTGACAGTAGTGACAGCAGTGACAGTAGTGACAGCAGTGATAGTAGTGTTAGCAGTGACAGCAGTGACAGTAGTGATAGCAGTGACAGTAGCAACAGCAGTGACAGCAGTGATAGTAGTGACAGCAGTGACAGCAGTGACGGAGACAGCAGTGATAGCAGTGACAGCAGCAATAGCAGTGACAGCAGTAACAGCAGTGACAGCAGTAACAGCGACAGCAAATCAGATAGCAGTGACAGCAGTGATAGTGACAGTAAGTCAGATAGCAGCAATAGTAGTGACAGTAAATCAGACAGCAGTGATAGCAGCGATAGCAGTGATAGTAGCGACAGCAGTGACAGCAGCAACAGTAGTGACAACAGCAATAGCAGTGATAGCAGTGACAGCAGCGACAGCAGCAATAGCAGTGACAGCAGCGACAGCAGCGATAGTAGTGACAGCAGCGACAGCAGTGACAGCAGCGACAGCAGCAACAGCAGTAGCAGTGACAGCAGCGACAGCAGTGACAGCAGTGACAGCAGCAACAGCAGTAGCAGTGACAGCAGCGACAGCAGTGACAGCAGCGATAGTAGTGACAGCAGTGACAGCAGCGATAGTAGTGACAGCAGTGACAGCAGCGACAGCAGCGATAGTAGTGACAGCAGCGATAGCAGTGACAGCAGCGACAGCAGTGACAGCAGCGACAGCAGCGATAGTAGTGACAGCAGCGATAGCAGCGACAGCAGCGACAGCAGCGATAGCAGTGACAGCAGTGACAGCAGCGACAGTAGTGACAGCAGTGACAGCAGTGAGAGCAGTGACAGCAGCGAGAGCAGTGACAGCAGCGACAGCAGCGATAGTAGTGACAGCAGCGACAGCAACGACAGCAGCGATAGTAGTGACAGCAGCGACAGCAGCGACAGTAGCGACAGCAGTGACAGCAGTGACAGCAGTGATAGTAGTAAAAGCAGTGACAGCAGCGATAGCAGTGACAGCAGTGACAGCAGTGATAGTAGTAAAAGCAGTGACAGCAGTGATAGCAGTGACAGTAGTGACAGCAGCAACAGCAGTGATAGCAGTGACAGTAGTGACAGCAGTGATAGCAGTGACAGCAGTGATGAGAGTAACAGTCAAAGCAAGTCCAGTAATGGCAATAACAATGGAAGTGACAGTGACAGTGACAGTGACAGTGAAGGCAGCGATAGTAACCACTCAACCAGTGATGATTAGAAAAAAAAGACACACAAGATTCCTTTTCTGAAAGTTTGGTGAGTGATAGGAAATAAAGATTGCTAAGAAAGTAAAGAAAGGAGAGAAATAAATAGAAGACACATGTAAACATTCATGAAAACAACTAGAGAAATCAAGTCACACTGCTGGATTTGGAGCCAAGTCTTAACTCCTGCAGAGAGAACCCAAATGTATAGCCTTTGGTACAGACATGTTTATAGATATTCATGTTCTGAAAATTGTGTTAAAAGTGTAAATCTGAATATAAAAGAACAATTAAAATATTCTTTAATACTTTACACAGAAACCTCAAGTAATCACTTTCTACATGATGATGTCAATTTCAATGTCATGTGCTTTAGAGAATGTAGCAAGCAGACACATCCTGTAAACAACCTGCAGCATTGCCTTAAGCCTCCACTCAGACATTCTGAAGCAACATAGTCACACATTCCGGAGAGACAGTTTTCTTACTCCTGAGTAAAAGGTGCTGTTCTGTGATATCCAACTTGGCTACTGATTCATTTGCTTATTCTTTGGAAGAAACACATTTGAGACATAAAAAATCACGGCTACTACTCAACCTTTCTGGGCCATGAAAGTGATCCTTCTAATGATCAAATAGAGTCATTATAAATTACAGAACTTCTAAAGAGTGTTAGAAAAGAATTTAGAGGCTGGTTGATGTATAAAATCTGATTAATATGATGGAGAATATCTGATGCTAAAATCTGCTGTAAAATATTACATTAGAGCAATCCATTGGACATTTAGTACAAAGTCCCTAAAACGATGGACCAACCTAATGCAGTGCTTTGGACAGTGTCCTGCTTCCAGCAGCCACTGTCCAAATATTAATAAGTAAATGAATACATGAATGAATGACTTGGGGGTGTCACTTTTTGAACTCTATGTTTATAGCTGTGTTCAGTGGCATCAATGATTTATCTTCACATCAGTCTCACCAAGTCACATTTGGTTCACATTTTGCTTTTAAACCCTCAGAATGCCATAACTTCCAAACCAGACCCAAAGACCCCATCCCCACTATTAATCTGTTTAGTGAATGCTGATGGGGAAGGGTAATGTTTTGGAAAACTCTTTGTTGTTTGAGTCATATATGTGGTTACAGTCTGAGCATAGATCACTCAGCTTTTGCATGATAATTCTTAGCCTGAGATGAAGCCCAAACCCTAGCAAATGAGGCTCTTAAAGGCATATGAGAATAGAAATTTATAATTAATAAGGTGGAGATAGAATTTATCTCTAAACTGTTGAGGGTGAAAGGGGTGCTATGAATAACTCCATAGGGACAAAAGGTGTAAATTGTGACTGTCCCAGGAAAGCTGTAGGTACTCTAACCCTAACTCAAACACCTTGAGGGTATTTTTTAAGATTTAGTAGTGATGCTTTGTAATATCCCCATTTTATATTTAGGCAATTATTTTAGCTTTGTTCTGATTCAAAGCTAAAAATCTATATGGTGAAGTTATGAATGCAACTTCTTTAATGTTAATTTTCAACCAGTTGTGAATTAACAACTTATGTTTGAATATTAGGTATATTTTACACAAAGAGTTTCAAGAGATCCCCCCCCCAGCCTTTCTTCCTTTATGCAAGTTATTGTTGAAGGCTTTAAAAATGCTATTAATAAACTTCTGGTAACTCTAAATAGTGTAAAATGTCCAGGTTTCTGCTATGTCACAATCATGTTGTGACTCCAAATTTCTTTCCTTAAAATATGCTCTAGGTTTTTAATTTCTTTAGACTTCAGGGGTTTTTGTTTGTTTTGTTTTGTATCAATTTGTTAAGTGCTGCTTGTAGTACCTGTCACACCTATTTCAAAAGGTTGTTTTGAGCACTAAGTCAGCATGGATGTGGAATTCTTTGTAAACTGTACAAGATATGTAAATGAAAGAGATGAACCTTGGTGTTATAATAAACATCTATTTATACAATCGCTTACAAGGAAACTTTCCTTTATCCTAAGGAGTTTGCAAATACTGACCTCTTCCATCACAAAATCTGATATATAACATTACAGTTCTTCTAAAAACTAGCAATTTTTTGCACCAGTTGGCAGTAAATCTCTGAACTCTGCCACCCTGCCTCAGTGTCCCCACGGGCTCTTGCCCCACGTCCTTCTCTCTGAAGTCCTCCTTCCCTCTGGGTCTCTTGCTCTGTAAATGTCACTGACTTGTAAACAATTCCAGTGACCCATAGTAAGGTAACCAATAGTCACTGATTAAAGTATGTCTATGAGAAAAAAAACTAGCTATTTTAAATTTAAAATAATAGACATATACATGTGCACAAAATAAAATTTTTACATACATAACATAAAAAAGTATACAAAAGTATTAAGTCCTGACTATTCTTGACTATTCCAGCCTTCCAGCCCTCTATTCCTCTTCCCTATTCCCTACAGGCAGTTCCTGTTACTGAGATCTCCTGGAGTACTTTGGAAATATTCTACCCACCTAAGTTCCCTGTTAAAAACATGCGGAAGTCTACTATACACAATAAGTTCATCTTACTCTTTTCAACTTAACATATACCTTAAATGTTGGTTTATAGCATACAGATGAACTCTTTCTTTTTCTGGAGCTGTGTTTTATTTTATTTTGTGAGGTGCTATAAGGTATTTAATCTGCCCTTATTGTTCCGTCACTTTTTAAGCCATCGACAGTCCAATAAGACTCTCTGAAGATATCGTCTAGATAACAGCTTAAGCTGTTAAATTAAGCTGAAGCTGGATAAATTTCTAGCCAGTTTTAAAAAAAAAATTTTTTCCAAACGTGTTTCCTTATATTTTATTAAAAACAAAAAACAACTACATTAAAAAAATTACAACTATCAACCTAGGTTTCTCTGCAAGTGCATTTACAGCTACAGATGGTAAATCCTACCAGAAGAAAGGCAAATAAAATAGACAATTCCTGGGGGAGTCATTTCTGCCGGCTCTCCACGGGTTTTTATTTTATTTGAGTTGTGGGGCAAAGGTGAAGATTTACTATGTAAGTAGGCTGTATGCAGGTGAAGTTTGGGCTTGTAGCTGGCCCTCTCCCCACCGACAGTGGACCTGCTACCCAGTGTGTTACCATGTGCCCCCTCCCTCCCCTAGCTATGTCTGCCGATCCCATCCTTATGCTCGCGCGACCAATGATCACGGCCCACTTAAGAGTGAGAACATAAGCCGGGCTCGGTGGTTCAGCCTGTAATCCCGCGCCTTTGGGAGGCTGAGGTGAGTGGATTGCCCGAGCCCGCGGGTTCGAGACCCGCTTGGGCAGCGAGACCTCATCTCTACAATAAAATCAAAAAATCAGCCAGGCGTGGTAGCGCGCGCCTGTAATTCCAGATACTTGGAAGGCTGAGGCGGAAGGATCGCCGGAGCCCAGCAGGTCGAGGATGCGGTGTCCGGGAGCGGCCACTGCACTCCAGTCTGGGTGACAGAGTGGGACTCCAAGAAAAGAGAACATATAGTATTCAATTATGCTGTGTTTCTGTGATAGTTCACTTAGGATGATGATCTCCTGCTGCATCCATGTTGCTGTGAAGGCTATAATTTTGGTCTTTATTTTAGCCAGTTCTTAGAGAGACTTTAAGGAGAATTTTGCAGCTGGACATGGTGGTGTGTGCCTTTAGTTCCAGCTACTTGAAAGGTGGAGGCGGAAGATCCATTGAGCCCAGGACTTCGAGACCTTGTCTCTACAAAAAACAAACAAAAACCAAAAAGTACTTCTGGGAGGGATGTTCAGAATCTAGGGCTCATCTTAGAAATCATGAAGACAGACTATGACTCTGATTTTCTTATAGAATCACATCTGTGTTGACTTCTGGACTGCTAAGAACGGAGCGGACACATTCCAAAAGAACGTCTCCGATGTCAGTCCTTTGAAAACTAGAAGTCTGGTATTAGGAAGCAAAACTTATTTTGAGTTATTTTCTGGAATAAAAATTAATAAACTCTCTGCTAATATTGCCCACGAGAGCAGTAGTTTTTAAACTGCAGGTTGCCACCCATTGAGTGGGTCATGGTATCACAACAAATATTTTATAAAATGAAAAAATAAAAAATAAAAATCACAGTGTACCATATGTAGTGTTTTGTGAAACTTGGTATTAATATCTATCTATATGCACACATGTATACACAAATGTGTCTCAGGACACAGGTACTAGGACATGATGTAAAATGTCTTTCTTGCTGATGGTTGCAGTTAAAAAAATTGAAAACCATTGGTTTTAGAAAAGCATTACTGCTACTAATAATTTTATATTTACTCTTCACATTCTCTTTTTTCCCTTATAAACGTCTACACTTCTTTTCCATTTTTGAAGTAGGGATTTAAACAAAAGGAAGGAAGGAAGAGAGGAAGGAAGGAAGGAATACAGGCAGGCAGGCAGGTTGAGGGAGCAGGGAAGAGTGGTGGTGGGATGGGTTTCTGGAACGATTTGAACCATAGTAAAAGAACCGAGGAACACTGTCAGTCTTGAACGTGAGACTATTATGGCGGAGCTGGTAGATTTGTTGGAAATTCAAGATTTCATTCTGGCTGCCTGGGTTACTCCATATATGCCTGAAGATACAAGATCTTCAGTCTTCTGCTCAGAGTCTGCCTTGTCCTCCCCACCTGGTAGGGAAGTCCTGCCACACCTCTCATCCCACAAATCAGGAAATGGAGTACAAGATTTTGTTGCTGTTTTTTTATATATTTTTTTACATAAAAAGGTAACCTTTATAAAGTCAATCTCACCATATAAATACATTTTAAATTATTAACTGGAGTAGAATTTCCCAGAAGTCAACCTTGCTGGTTTGTAATGGAAGTTTTGAAAAACTTCAGACCAAAATAACTAAGACTAGTTTTCCTCTCCCTAAAAGGAGCAGAAATAGAGTAGAATAATAGGTCAGTCCGAGATGAAAATAGCATTGTGTTCTCACAGGGATCCATTCACTGCTGCTTGAGGCAAATCCTCTAGAGAATGAGAGTCAATAA